GAGAAAAGAAGAATCCTTCATCCTACGCCCTTTTCCAGTGAGCTTCAGGGACTGGGCCAGCCCAACACAACTCTACAGGACAAACGTTTTTATACAGCAGATAAATAAATAAACACGAAGCTATGGTGCTATTGCAGAACCTCAAGAGAGGAGGAAAAGAGGACCTTTCTTGCGAAGGAATAAAACGAAATAAAATAAAAGCAAGAGCTCGAGCACACTCTGCAACAGTTGTTTTTGGAGTAGGTTGGGGGCTTGTGGAAGGGGGTGGGGGGGTGGGGAGGGTTTGTTTAGTTATTTCGTTTCCCCGAGAGTAAAACGGCCTAGGTATGATCATGGAGGCCCCATAGGTATAACATTTCTGGGAAATTGAGTGCATGAACCGACTTCAGCGTTGTTTAACGCTTTGTTTAAACTGGTGCTTCAGTTGTAGGAGAGCTCGTGTATAATGTAATTCTTCACCATGTTGAATAAACCTGAGACTGGCACAGAAATGAACATATAAGTCGAAGGAACAGAAAGGGACAGGACGACGTCTCAAGTTTCCCTGTAATTTTTCAAGTTATGTATTAATATTGCAAAGAAGATTAGAAGAAGCTCTCTTTTTCAGAACGTTTATTTGCTTAACAAACACGTCTACGGTGGGAAAATCAATAAAATATTTTCACTGGCACTGTCGCACTTGCTGTATATGTCGGAATCGTTTTTTTTTTCTATGTTATGTTCAAATCTTTGTCCATCATAACTTTTTTTTTTCATTAGCCATGTATATTTTGCAATTCCTTTGAACTTTCCTATGTAAGGATCATAGTTTAGAGTAAAGGCGAGTGTTTCTCTTAATATATCGTGTCGAAATACTTTTTTTGGTGGTCGCACCATTATTTTAAAACACGCCCCGAACATATTTTATGGGTAGCCACTGAGAGAGGGCAGTTTCCTTGCGTTCTTTGCGTCCGCGTTGTGATCTTCTTGCACTAGGACAACTAACTGGCCATTGAAGCGGACGATTATAAGAAATTCTAAAAAATGAATATTTCTTTCTTGGTGGCTCTTTAATATATTAACAAAATAAGCACAGTTCAAAAACATGAAATGACAGAAAAAAAAGGCTGACTAAATTAGTTACGAGATTAGTTTTTGCAGGAGAAATTCATTTTGAAGCATCAATAAAAACCTGTGGGATTTAGTTTTTAAATCACACTTTAGATTATCGCTGATGTAATCTTGACTTTTATTCTCCAGCCTGGTTGAGACCCATGGGTATATAAATAAATTCCTTTAAATCCTAACATGTTCGTTTTGTTGGTCACTCGTGAAAGTTGAGTATGATGAGCTCACCACGTAAAGACACCTTTCTGAATACCCACGCTCATGATATTTGAGCGTGATAACTTGTAAAAAGTTTCAATGCATCCCATTCATTGCTTTTTTATGCCAATTTTTCTACACTCAAATAGCGAAGTTTGTTTTAACCATCAAATCTGGCACAAGAGACGCGGTTGACGCAGAAACGCCTCAGCTTCACGCATCTATCGAGAGATAAAAACGACCTGTTAAAAGTTCACATGAAGGCGAGGAATCTATGATGAGGGGCCATGTATACCGTGTAGCCTAGGATGACGGTACTGTAATAAGGTGGTGAACTGGGCCAGTTGGTTGACGTTATACAGCAATGCCCTTGTCGTGTTCGTTCTTCTTCGTAGCCCGCGTTTTCTGAGCTGTTTTCCCAATCATGTATGACAGTATACTGCGTAGCATGTTCTGTACGACGGGTTTCGCTACATAGATGCTTTGCACACGCGCAAAATTACAGCCGCCATTGCCGACCTTCTCTTGTCTTACCCAGATGCTGAGCCAGTGAAGCGGGCGTTGGCGAGCTTCCACAAGGGCCATTGCTGGAGAGAAGGACACAGTAGAACCTAAAATGGAATTAACCCGCCCTGCTGGGGTCACAAGGAAGTGAAGCACACGTAATAAGAAGAAACAACAATTAAAGGTAGATGATAGCGGCGCCCATACACAGCTGCTGCAAGCTTCTATATAAGCAAGTGCATCTACGTCACATGTAGAATTCTGAATACAAATTTCATTAAAATTGGTGGTTGACTAAGTTACCGCACTAACTGATGCCTCATTTCCAGTTCAATCACAGTTTCCGTGTATCCACTTAAAACCTATCATATGGTATTGCTAATGGGATTGGTGGGTTTGATGACAGTAGCTGAAGAGCGCTATGTCCGATAGGAACGTATCTCGCATGCATCGGTTATGATAAGTCTTATTTGTGGCACTGCTATTGAGTCATTAAAGATAATGTGCTGTTGTGATGATTTAGTGCAGCTTCAAATTGAAATTCTACTACTTTATTCATTTCTCTCCGTTTGGAGAAGGGAACAGAAGAAAACAACTTTGTGGTTGCTTGACGAGCCTCTGCACCCCCCCCCCCCCCCCTTCCCCGCAGCAGCAGAGGGGAGAGCACATAGATATACGCAATATATTAGCAATACAACTTATGACAACAACAAAAAAAAATAAAACAGGTGGTAGGGAGGAGAACGGTAATCGATTGACCCGATATTCAAGATTCACAAATTCCACGGGCACTCCCTCACAAACATGGAAGCTACACTTTGCCGGGATTCACTCAGGGCTTCTATATTCAGTTCGGTCAAACAATTTTAAAAGACGTGGCAGTGTGCTCTTCAGTATCTGACTACTATAGTTCGTTCTACGGTGCGGCACAATCAACGTCTCTACAAAAGCGAGTCTCATAGGCAACCTCCCTCAGCCTAAGGTTGGAAATTTATATGAATACATGTTTTGTTTTGCCCAAGATACCTTTTTAATGCAAGAAGAAAAATTTATAATAGTACTGATATGAAATTTCTACAATATTCAATATATTAAATAATGGAGTGATATGAGTATCGTACGCAGTGTTACATTAATTGCAAACATCTCCTTTTTCCCTTTTTTTTAGGGTATGCATTAGTTTAATGCTTGTGGCAGTCGTATTCCCACACACTAAGAAGCAATCCTTATACTTTGAGTAAAAATGGGAATTCTATATAAGAAGCGCAACCGAAATTGGGATGGTATGGAGATATTTGTACAGAAGACCTGCAACTCTCGATAGCTTATAGCTTTTGACATGTGTTGTACAGTTTCGTCCCATGACATGTATTGATTGCAGGCACGTAGCCAGGGGGGAGGCCCATGGGGCCCGGGCCCCCTCCGAAATCTTCCATTTTTCTGGGACCTCCTCTCCCCCCTCCCCCTCATACAGCATTTTGTCATGGGCGGGCCCCCCCCCCCCCCCGAACCAAAATCCTGGCTATATGTCTGATTGATTGAATATAATTCTCAGAACTTTTACGCTTTCTACTATACCTATGCAGTGTGTTCCAAGAGAAGGAATGCAGGAATAAAAAGAGTTCATATTTCATTATCACCTCTTTAGTTTTCTACAATTTATTTGTAAGAAGTTTGAATCTGTCCAAGCGTATAACTTTTTCATGTATATTCGCGCTATACTTATAATCTGATCTGTACCAGGACCGGAAAAAAATATACTGGTATCATCAGCATAGATGATGAGACACGTTGTCATCAATATTTGCAACGTCATTGATGCAGAGATAAAAAAAAAAGTGGTTTCAGCATACTTCCCTGTGGCACGCCGGCAATTCGTTACCTAAGATCCCATCTTGTTTGTATTTCTTTTTCTTTTTTATAACAACACACTGGCAGCGATAACGAAGATAACTTCTAATCATATCCAAAGCAACACCAGGAATATCGTAAAGATACAACTTCTGAAGTAATGTAACGTGATTTATGCCTTCGAAAAATCGACAAATGCTTCAAGTGTCAGCGACCTTTCTCATTGATCGTTTGAAAGAAGTTATTTTTTTTGTACAAAGAGAACTTACATTCTCGTAGGGTTCCTAATTCCGATGCGGAGACTTCTGTGTCGCTCGACTTAATTTCGATGATTTAGAACGTTTTGAAATACACCCAGTATACTGCCCTTCGGAGAATAAAAAATTATTAAATTCACTCTTCAAAATGTCGTGGTTTTGGGCGGAAATCAGCCTCACTCCCGGTAATTTGCATAGCCGAATTTGATTTTAAAACTAAGGAATAAAGTTATACATTACATTGCAAATACATTCATTTCCACTTACGCGCGCCTTGCTAGCTTCCAGTATTGTAAATACATTAGAGATTCTCAACTATTGTGATCGGTTCTATTGTATATCCTCAGGCTTTGGCTTGCTAAACAATTTTGAAATGCAAATAAAATAGCCGCGCTCCTGAGCGCCGGCACACTTTGAGTAAGCGGTTACTGTTTTATTCCAAAAAAAAAAAAAAAAAAAAAAAAACTTCCGTTGATAATGATAAAGAAAACACTGTGACGGAGTAGAATTGACAGTGGCGATAATTGTTTGGGAAACGGGCGTGGTTCAGTTGCCGCCCCCAAGAAATAAAAGCTTTTTTATATATTTTTTATGACTAGAGGCGTTTTGAATATATTTATGCGTTGTTACTGAGTTACACCTGTTGAACAACAGCCACGTTTAAGCAGCTGCAACGAAATTAACAGAAACTGACTGCAGCTCTGTGGAAAGAAAAACAAGAGAATCTCTCAGAAATTGATTGAGCAATCATTGCAAGCGAGAGTATCAACGACCGCAGCATTCAAAGGACTGAGAAGTGATATCAAGCAAACGACGCGTGTACTTTAGGCGAAACATTCAATACAAGAAAGTACGCCCGGTAACCAGCAATTCGAGACGCAAGACTCTTTTCGTTGTCGCATCTTTTAAACTGGGTCGGGGAGATAAACAAAAATCGGGTTCGCGAGATCTAACAGTGCAATCTGGAGCAGGCTGCGAGCAAAGAGAATTTTTCACGTCCACCTAGGGAAATCTGGGGAAGGGCGAACCGAAAACAGAGGCGACGGGGAAAACCTGGCGGGCGCCAGCAGCGCCGCCGCTTTTCTAATCGCGCCGCCGTTGGCGTCGCCGCCGCCGCCAGCGCTTTGTTCGCTGCGAGCGCAAAAAAAAAGAACCAGAGCGGCTAAAGCAGACGCCAGAGGAGCATGGAGGGATACTGTGCCACCGACGAAGCAACGCTCCCTGGCTGCTTCATCGTCAAGTACCTGGGTGTCCAAGACGCCACGGGCCTGTGGGGCCTCAAACACACCCGGCGGGCCGTCGACGAGCTGGTGTCAGCCGCCAAGAATGCCAAGCTCGCCACCCTCATGCCGATGGTGAAACTGGAAGTCTCTGATAAGGGAGTAACGCTCGTTGAACTCAGCGCTGTTCGCGGAGGCGGCGGAACCGGCGTCGTCGTCTCCTCCGGCGCTAACAACAGGTCGCCGGGCAAGCAGTCGTCGGTGTCGTGTGTGTTTCCCATCGAGTCCATCTCGTACGGCGTGCAAGACGTGAGCTACAGCAAGGTGGTGGCGATGATAGTGGTGAGGGAATCTCCCAGCGCGCTGCAGCAGCACGAGCACCCGTTCAGGTGCCACGCGTTCGTATGCGAGAGCAAGGCAATTGCCAAGCGGCTCACGCTCACGCTGGCCGCGGCCTTCAAGGAGTTCAGCAAGATGGTCAAGACCACCAAGACCCGGGAGATGTACACGAAAAAGTTCGCCATCGATCTGCGCGGCGAGGACGACGGCGAGTGCGTGCCCGAAGACTCGGAAGCGTAGCTCCCCGCTGCGCGCTGCAGTGAGTGCGCGCCGTGTTTTCAATGTGCGCGCTGCCGGATATTTTTTTTTTTTTTTTCGAGCTTAGTGTTTGTACAGGTTGCGCCGTGCTCCCGCGTTTATTCCTCTCGTAAGAAGGAGAAGCGCGTTTACCTTTGAACGGCGTTCAAAGGTTGCCAAAAGTGACTTCATCCGACGGAAGTGCAGCGAGACTGCTAAAGCGATGGATTGTATGGTGCAGTTACGCGTTGTAAATAACCGTTAACTTGTGTAGATAGTCACTTCTTCTTTTCGACTTCTATGACGTGTAATATATCTTCACGCGTTTTCGACTTCCGTAACATGTAATATATCTTCGTACGTTCTCCAAAAACGTGTCACTGGTGTCAGCCGTCATTTTTCATCCGTTAGCACCGCAAGGCCGGTCGCGGCGATTTTATGTGCGGTCCACTTCGGGACAACGGCAGCATTCCGCCCTCTCGCTAACGCGTCTGGCTTTGCTCAGGGTCGTTTTCATCAGATACTGGGGCGACCCGGGAAGTCACAAGTGGCACCAATTGACTCGCCCTTGCTGTGCAGCTTATAGTCGTTTGTCGAGACTCATTGGGGCTGCTTGCTCGAGTTTATTTGCCCCTTGATTGGCTGAAGTGGATGTGCTACGTCTCCAATCAACCGTACTTAAATCAATTTAGGATGATTCAAATTGTCCGGGAAATTTTAATTCCACCAACAGTTCGATGACGCTCCGTCATCGAACTGTTGGTGGAATTAAAATCGCTAACCGCTCATTCACACTGGAAGCGGATCCGCGTTCGCAAAGCGGTTGCGAACGCGGTTGTATAAAGATCCTGTACAATTGCACGCGCACTCAATGTCCTCGAGTGCGCGTGCAATTGTACTGGATCTTTATACCACCGCGTTCGCAACCGCTTTGCGAACGCGGATCCGCTTCCAGTGTGAATGAGCGGTAAGGGTGCCGGTCGCAGATTTGGAGCGCGAGGATCTGGTATAGCATAGAGCATTTCTCGGGGAGTCTGGCATTCAGCGCACAGCTTTTGCAGCGGCAAGGACCCGAAACATGCTTTCAAACCCGACGAGAAAAGAAGCGGTAGCCCGAGGAACGCGAGAAGTACGAGCGGATAATCCATCGCTCGGGACAAGTGTGCTTCGGCGTCTCGCCGCAGCGGGGCGCCCGTTACATGACTTTGTTAAAGCCCCTTGATAAAGGTGTTCTTACAAGTACCGCCAACCATTGTTGTGGAAATGCGCAAGACACGTGCCACGAGCGGGTGCTCCGCCGCCATTCGCTTCCAAGGGCCGCTCATTTCAGTGCTGCGCCGCCATTTGCTTCCAAGGGCAGCTCGAGACCTGGGCCACGTGCGCTCGAGCATTTGGCGCTACTTGCAAAGGCAAACGAAAACATATCGAGGGGCTTTAGACTTAGTAAAGCCTCTTCAGGTTTCAAAAGTAGCGCAAAGTGCGTCGATGCACGAGGCACGTGCAGCGTGCAGCTCTTGGAAAGATCATGGCGGCACAGCGCAGCACTCGGCTAGATTTCAGACGCCATGAATTTCCCAAAGTGGCGCGGGGCACGTGCCTCGAGCATTTGGACACCAATGAATGGCGCCACATTTCTCCGGATAGAGGGGCTTTAGACTCTTGTCTTCCGCTCTACCTTTTCACTTTCGGTGGTCGCGTATCGTGGCGATCTGCCAGGCTTTGTCAGTATAGAGGAGGCTATGACTCAACACATGTACACCACCTAAAAATAGTTTACAAAAAAGAAAGCTGCGCATTGTTCATACGCCGCGTAGAGTAGTTCATACAAAATGTGATTCTTGGAGGAAGTAGCGATTCTCTTGGCGTTTCAAACGCCTACGTCTTAATAACACATACCTAATCTAAAACGCACATACATAGATCTTCATTCTCCGTACAAAAGGGAAAATTAGTAATGCTCCGCGAGTAGCCGCAACCCTTTTACTACGGTTCCTGGGGTGAAAGCGACTTTAGTTTCATGTGGGAAGAATGCAGTATTGAGACGCGATTCACAATATTGGCGGTAAAAGAAATGGGTACTGTCTGCTTCAGGTCGCCGCGAGCTTATCAAAACAGCTCATTCTGGTATTCCGATAAGTTCGCTCTCTTTCTGTTTCGTTTTTCTTTCTTTGAGCTTGGGAACGACTGGGCGTGTCTCGTTTAACCCTCAAGGTAGCAAGTTCTGCTTTCCCGGCTTCTACCGGATCGGGTCACGTAAGCCAGTTAGTATCGAAGGCAACCGGCTCTTTTATGTTCACGAAGTCGACACGCTTGAAAGCGCACTTCGAAGGAGCGTCCAAGTTCGCCGTTAAGTCATCAGTTACAATGATTCATGACACGGCGGTAATCGGGATGTCACTGCAAAGAAACACCCCTTTCAGTTTCTCGTTTCAAGGACCACACTTCACACCAGAAAATGGAAGACGTCGCCCGCACACCGCGATAATAGAGTGTACGCGTTCTGAGTTATCATCCACCTTGAGCACAGATCTTACATAAGTGTTTTATTTTCTTTTTTTTTAATCTAGGTAATACCGACTTCGATTATGTCCCCTTTCAGCCCATATTTCCGCCTTTTCTGTGGGTAAAGCAACTTGTTGTTTGCCATAAACGCTGTTTTTAACGGTGCCAAGTGACTCTGCAGGGAATGCTCGCTGTCGCCACGCGTTTTACCTCAAAGCACAGAACAGCTATGGCCGCCACTGAACACGCCTCAGCCAGAGCTTCCTACCTTCGGTAATGCTTCGGTGTCTTGTGAGCCTCGCGCACGCACGCACAGCCAAGCACTATAGAAGGCAACGTCGCCTGCTGGAGGCTGCAGGTTGCCGATAGAGACGCCCTGCAATTGTCATCCTGTCGGTGACTTTATCGACATGTTAACTACTTCGGTGTTCGCTGCCTCACTATGCCTCCTCCTTCTAAAGCCACGAATTTTAACAGATGCTTTTCGGAATCGAAGACATAACGTGTACAGCTCATTCACATCATTTCTTGTGCACAAAGCCTCGCCTGCTTATCTCAAAATGTGTTCGCGAAAAATTACTTTTTCCTGACATCAGCGACCAACGTTCGAATGTTCTCCTTGCTGCGCTGAGGTCATAACTTCATCTGGCAATCTGTGTTCGGCTTTTTATCAAAGGCGCCGGCACGAGAGCGTGACTTTGCAGAGTGTCCTATATTTACGCTAGCTCATATACAAGAAAATCTTTCTTTCTATGAAGCCAGGCACTTAGTGTAGAACTATAGAGCTATCCATTCGCTGATTTCCTTGTGGGCGCCGTCATGTTGGTGTTTATGCAGAGCGGGCGCAATTGGTGATTCTTTTACTATTCGGAATAGACTATATATACTTCCATAAATCCGTCATCGTAAGCGTTGCATTCTGTGAAACTGTGAGCCAGGAGCGAATCGCGTATAGGGATCTTGCTGCCAACTGATTTCCACAATGTATATCGTCGCATTACGCCGCGATGAGGCGCTTCGAGTTTTGGTATAAGTCTATTGCGACTTCCCCAGCTTCGGATGCGGCATCAGGAAGCTCAGGTGATTTCGCTTTGTAATGCCGCGGATTGTTTTAGCATTCCCGGAGCATATGACAGCGTGACGCGCGATTTCTCATGAAGTTTCAGACAACTGACAACATTGATATGAAGCACCCAGATGACTGAAGTGTCCTTACTAAGGTATAATTTATTTATTTATTTATTTAACACGTTGAATATGTCGAACAGATGTTCAACAACGCCGCACCGAATTCCCAAGACGGGATATAGCCCGGTAGCTCTCACGTTTAAACGACTAAAAAAAGAATTCTGTGTGTTTTTTGGCTGTGCGTTGTTACGCTATCTTACATTGCCCGCGGGCGCCGCCACGCTGGCAGAATTTTATTAGTGAATATAAAATTCTGAGAAAAAATAACATTACAAGAACCAAAAAAAAAGAAGCAACAGGAAAAGCATTCTTATCGGTTTGATACGACGCTGCAAGCTCAAGCTGCATTTCTCTCTTGTTTCATTTAAACTTTTTTTCTCTCTCTCTCTGTCTTTCGTGCGCGCTAGCACGAGCGTAGACAAATGCTGACACACGCTTGTGTAAACGGGCTATAGGAAGTATTCACTGGTGGCCATAGGTCTGTGCACGACTGCTGAGCGCGTGCTCACGGCGAGCTTCCACGGTTATTTTGCAACGTGCATTCCACACCATCAAGAGTGCCGGTCTTAGCAACCTATTAATGTGGGCTTGTTCTGAGCATGCGCTGTAGACAGCACCCACAAATTATGGCACCCAGTGAATACTCCTTTAACGGAGCATCTAAAAGCATAATTTCATTTTCTTTAAGTTTAAAGAAACAAAAGAAATGCAGCTGGCGCTTTCACTGTCCTATCAAAACGATAAAAATGCTTCCCTTGCAGCTTTCTTTTTTTATGTGCGTGTGTGTGTGTGTGTCTGTGTGTGTTTGTTTTCCCACATATTTATATCCATGAATGTTATTATGCAAGCTTGTTATAAGGTCCGCGAGCAACGGGGGGAAAAAAGCGTAAATCCGCAGTCGCAATAATAATATATCCTAAAAAAAAAGAAAAAAAAAAAAGACACGGAGTGCGTTGCAGATTTGACGACAGAATTATCTGCGGATTTAAGCACGCTGGAAGCAAGTTTTCTTCACACAAATGTGCATGCTTGAAACATTTCTGCAGACAGTTTTGTTATGACCATTGTGACCGTAAACCTAGAAACAACAGTGTCATAGCCTCTTATATACTGACAAAGCCTGGCAGATCGCCACGAGAAGCGGCCGCCGAAATGGAAAAGGTGAAGCGGCAGACAACGGATGAGAGGAGAGCCACGTGACTGGCGCCCCGCTGTGGCGAGACGCCGAAACACACTTGTCCCGAGCGAACAAGTGTGTTTCGGGTCCTCGCCGCTGCAAAAACTGTGCGCTGACGTCCAGGTTCCCCGAAAAATGGCCCGTTGATGCTCTGTGCTACCAGACCCTCGCGCTCCAAATCTGCGACCGGGCACTGTATATATGACTCCGTCGTCGAACTGCCAGGATTTGTGAGTATAGAGGAGGCTATGACAGTGTGTACACACTGCCTTTTGTACGATGTATATTATCAACGACCAACCGAAACGTGACAGAAGAATATTTACATTTGCTCGCCCCTTTGGCGCTGCTTAAACATGAGAGCCGCGGGCCTATGTTGTGTTTCGATGCGCGGAAGAGGAAAATCGGTTGCAGTGGGATGGCTGGTTTACGATTGCGAATCTGTGCCAGCGAAGCTCGCGTATAAATAATCGGACCCATTTATCTGCCTCGTGCGCAGAAAAACG